GTTCATATTTAACATGTTATATACATAATAAATTTAAGAAATTTTTATAACTGGCTTCTTGATACAAACATAAATAATAAAGGGCATACAGCGACAAGTAAAGTCGGTTCTACATTAATTGCAAGCTGATCGCAAGTTTGTTGCAATATGAAGCGTTGATTTCAAAATGCAAGCTTCAGATTGGCTGTCGCAACAAACTTGCGATCAACTTGCAACTAATGTAGAACCAGTTTAAGATGTATGTAGCGACAGAGTCGATTATTGACGCTTCTGATTGACTGTTGCGAAGCATTACGACTGGCGGCGAAGTGTTTGCAACTTGATTGTAGATCACGTTTAATGGTTCCGACACACCAGCGCGACACGCGATATCCAATGACAGTATACTTTTAGAATGAAAACATCGGTAAAGCTGTACATTCATTGTCGCGCGCGACGAACATCGCGTTGATGTATCGGAGACATAAAATGTAAGTAGTAAAGAAACCAAAATGTTGGATTGACTACCGCTACCGTCTACGTTTTAGGAAGTGGTTCTATTGAGCACTGTAACAATTGCCCACTGCCAATCACAGCGATTTCTGCGGGGAGTATTGGGTTATTTTTTTTTTTTAGTGCTGTGATTGTCTTGTGCGCAATTGGATCGTGAGCAATTGCTATACACTCTACGTTTTATGTTGCTTTTCTGCTTTCTGCTTTTCTGTCAAGATATGAAGGTGTCCTAATGCATTAGAATTAGCACGCACGTTTCAATTGTATTAAGTCCGGATCAATAGATGTTTTTAAGCCATAAGAAATGGACGAATCATAGTCAATTATTCTCCTCGCATTCGACACTGTGATTGATCAATTTCTTATGGCTTAAAACACCTATTGATCCGGATTAATGCTTAATGCAGACTGAACCATGGTGGAAGAGATAACATGATGTGCTCAATTTAGCGTCTCTCTCTCTAATGCCTTCTACAATTAATCCATAACGGACCTTTTACAATAAGCCATTAGTCATAAATCAGAAATCAGAACCTAAAAATTGAGAGACAACTGTGATTAGCAATTTTTAGCTTGTGACTAATGACTTATTGTAAAAAGCCCATAAATTTCTACTGTCTCTGTTTTATGAATGTTGCATAAGAAACAAAGCTTTTTTTCCTTGTTTGACACACATCATAATGCGCATCTTAGGACGCGTTCATACCTTGACGGAAAAGCAGAAAGCAGAAAAGCAGTGATCAATCAGAATTCGCGCTAGTAGTAAGTACAAAAAAAAAACGAAATTGTAACTAACACCAGTTAGAGTTCTGATTGGCTGCTGCTTTTCCGCTTTTTTGTTGAGGTGTGAACGCCCTAAGGTTCTCTTTCTTATAGAAAGAGAAACATAAAGAGTGTTAAACATGGAAAGATTCAGTATTAATTTCACGATGCGAAACAGGCCGATATTCATAGTAAATTCTTATATTTAAGACTGTCTTAAGTACAGTGTTAAGATGTCATAAGTCAATCCGAGAACTGTATTAGCAATTAACATCTTAAGAGTTTTAAAATTAAAACAGACTATAAATACCGCCCCATGTTTCGCGTTTCACAATTGACTTTGTCTCTCATGCGACATTTATAGAAATGTGTGGTCTACAATGACAGTAGCAGTAAAGGATTAAACATAATAGACACAGGCAATAGGTATAGAGAACAGGGAATAACGAGCTGTTCAATCAGAGCTCTGTTATTGCCTATCGTAAATCATGCAAAAGAGAAATGGCGAAAAAGAGAAAGAGAGACACTTGCAAACACTATTTTCCATCTAAGGAACCGGCTCAGTATGTAAAAATCAACTAACTACTCTCGAGTATTCGCCTGTCTTACAGTCTTTGACTTACAGTCAAAGTCTACTTTGACTTACAGTCAAACGACAGGAGAATGCTCGACTGTAGTTGGTTGATTCTACATTCTGATCTGGTTTAAACCCTCGATGGAAACTAGGCCACCATGTTGTCTCTTTCATAGGTAACCCTTAAATCGAGCCGTGTAGCATAGTAAATGACGCAACCAATTACAAAAGAAATTAAGAGAAAAGAGACGAGGAAGAGTGGGAAAAAGAGGGAATAAAGAGTTCAAAGAAAGAAGATACGCCAGAAAACTGGTTTTTAACGTATTGATTTTATTTTGATGTTTTTCTTCTTTTTTAAATCTCTTTAATATAAAATCTGTTTAACGATGCCACACATTCAACTATCTCTTTCAGGCAAAAGTTGTTTTTGCTTCCTTCCATTTATATACACGATTAGGTCTAAGGCCGTAGTTGTTTAACTTTCTTTTCCCAATCGGTATCGAGCGTGGACGAAAAATTCATCTGAACGGAGCCTTTTACAAGGGGAATCTGAGATTAGCGATTGAGATTAGGGAAGAAAAAATCAAATATTTTGCACTTTTCTTCTACTCGACTCAACATCAGTTTCTTGTGTCATCAAATTCCTCAAATAGATCATTTTATTCCGAGCTCTATATATATGTATATATATATATGTATATATATATATAT